CATAGAGAGAGGCCAAGCCAGAGAGAGCTAGAATGGATGACTTTCCAACTCTGTGCAGAGCCTCCTTGAGAGCCTGCTTCCATTTGGCAAACCATAAGTACTCAGCCACTGAGAGCTCCTGGCCTGTGACTATGGCCAGAGAGTCAGCACATTCCCTAGAACAGTGATTCTTAAAGTGTGGTCCCTGGACCACCAGCAGCACCAACAGTACCTGAGAACTGGTTAGAAATACAAAGTCTCAGCCTAGACCAGAAATCTGTTGCTAGGGATGGGCCCAGCAGCAACCTGTGTCAAGTCCTTGGGGTGATTCCTATTCAAATTTGCACATTTTGTTTTTTGGTGCTGAAGACTGAACCCAGGGCCTTGCACAGAGTAACCATCCTCTTTAAGCACAATGATTTTGATAAAAGAGAATTCATATGAGCCTTTTAATAAATAAAATATGAATATATAATTTTACCTTGGTAGCCATGAAAAATTGGTTCCAGGACCCCCACAGATACCAAACTCTGTGGACGCATAAGTCCCCTTCATAGCATGGCATGCAGACTAGTTAGTGGGTACAGGGGTGCAGCTGGGTAGGAGAGTAACTTCTGCTAATATAGTGCCCTATGGCACTGTAGGACAACAATGGTCTGCAACAATTAATTGAATATTTTGAAATAGTTACTAGAGAAGATTTTAAATGTCACCAACACAAAGACACAGTATATATTTGAGATGATAAATGAGCCTATGCACATTACATTGTGCATAGGTATCGAGGTACTACACTGCACCCCACGAACATGTACAATTACTATGCTGCAATTAAAAAGGTATTTAAAAATAAAATAGTATAGTATTTGTATAAAACCTACCCACATTCTCCCATATACTTTAAATCATCTCAAGATTAATTAGAATGAGTAATACAACAAACAATTGTTATACTGTATTGTTCCAGGGAAAATGGCAAGACAAAAGGAAAGGGACTGCACATGTTGAGTATAGGTGCAATTATTTTTCAAATATTTTTGATCCAAGGCTGGTTGAATCTGAGGAAGTGTGACCTGTAGCTATTGAGAGCCAGCTGTATTGCTGAACACAATATTTGGCACATGGTAGATACTAGATAATTGAATAAATGCACAAGTCCATTCTCCTGCTCTCCCTTTGTTACATTCCTAACTTATACAAACAAGACTGTCCAGAGAGATTGGAGAAGGGAGTCTAGGACTGGCATAGACTTGCGTGACAGAACCAGGGTAAGGGGACCAAAGCTTGAATGTGCATCACCATCTTGGGGAGTAGAAGGGAGAGGTGAATGGAAATCTCAGAAGTCTTGGTAACTTTTGAATGACTTTCTGTTTCCAGGTTTTGGTAAAGGGAAATAGTTTTGAACTCTAACTTCAATAGAGGTGGTGTACTTACCAGAGCTGGAAAGCTGGTCTGCATCCTGGTCTCCCACCCAGACCAGCTCCAGCCCTCCTTGATGTGCTGCCATTAAACACTCTTTACAATCTGCAATGTCCTTACTCCAGCAGCCAAGTCTGGCTCTTCCTACCTGGTTATCCCCGAAGTCAGCCTGTCTGTGGAGTCATCTACCTCCCTCCTCCTCTGGACACCCCTACTTTTGCCCTGCCCCCTCCTCCCCAGACACTTGTAAATTCCTCCCTCACAATTTCCTCTCCATCCTGGCCACAGAGGTCACTGGCATTTGATCACGTTTTATGAGTGACTTAGACATAGAAAGGTGCCTGGCGCCTTGGGCACAATACCTAGCAGTACCAGGACTTTCCCCGCCTCTTTAGGAAAAGAGTTGAATCAGAAGCTTCCCAAAGCTTTCTCCAACCTTCAAGTTAATTCTTAGTTGTGCTATTGGTCACACGAGCTCATCTCTAAGACAATGGAACCCTTCTAAAGGGTACAGAGTTCAGGAACATGACCCAGTGGCAGGCCACCCTACTGCTTCCTCTAGATTGCCACAGGCCCAACTGAGGGACCTCAGGCCCCATGAATATCTAGGCAGTGTGCCTGAGCCTTTTAACTCTTGTGACAATGCAATATTGATATTTTGTTTTTAAGGGAAAAGAAGTAATTCCATGCATACATTTCTTCTTAGACCTTACTTTACTGTGACAGCACACATGCCTTTGGGACAATGTCAGTAGACTCATGGGAAGGAAATGCTAGTTGACTCACTAGCTGGGAAGTTCAGAGACTATACTAGCCATGCAGGCTATGACTCAGGCAGCCTTTGGCATGAAACCTGAAGTTGCCCGTGACCTTGGTAGGACATTGGTGTACATATTACTTATCCTTTCTGAGACTGTTCTTCTGCAATACCCCTTAGGTAGCAAGGCTGCAATGAGACAAAGTGAGATGCAGGCTGCTCTGTTTATTAGAGGGGGTCACTAATGACACCAGGTCCTTCCATGGCAGAGTGGGGACATGGATCATCCACATATCTTGTTCTCCAAACCCCAGTCATTACTGCATGCCCAGGAAAGATGGCATTCACTGAGAACTGTCCATCCCAAACAGGTCTGCGTCTTCCTGTCCATGGCTGAACCCCAGGGACTCTACCAGGCTGCTCTTCCCACATCCTAAAATTCCAAAGATGAAGACTCAGAAGTCCCAGGAATTTAGGGACTCCCCAAGGTCTCTTGGAAACTACAATTGCCAAAAAGAAAAAAATGGGACATGCACCTTTATCAATGATGGAGAGAGAGAAGTCTGATGGGAAAAATTGGAGTGGGGAGGCAACATGAAAGATCTAATATTTGGAGGAAGGGGACTCTGAGTCTTTTCAAGCTCCATCATTTTACTTTATTTTGCTATCCATTTACATCCTGCCATGTTCCAAAAAGGACTAGACATGGCAAACCAAGCACCAAGTCTGCAGGCCAGTTTGAGATCCATCTATAGCAGCTTCTAAGGAACCAGCTAGTTGCATGCATAGTCCTTCAGGAGTAAGAGACTAGGAAGCATGTGGTGGGAGGACCATCCCTCTGCCTCACCTGACCTTTAGGCAGATGCCGCCTACAGCTGGGCTCAGGAGCATCTGTTCATGCACCTGTCCCAGAACCAAAGGGAGCACCACAGAGGAGGGGCTGTGCCAGTGTTGCCAGGTTCCTTCAGGTGCGCTCAATCCCTACTTACCTGTTCTGGGTGCTCTCTTGAGGCTCAGTCACTCAGCCTCAACTGGCTGTCACTGCTGCCTTCTTCAGAGGTTGCATGGGCTCCCTCAGCCACTGTAGCTGCACTAGCAGAGGGCTAGAGAACTGGGAGTTGACAGCTCCCCACCGAGAGGCAGCCTGAAGCTGGGAGGCACTGCACATCCAGTTCTCTGTCTTCAATGTTGGACTTCCTCTGAGGAGTGATGCAGGCTTCAGAGCTCCCCAGAGGCTCAGATGAATGTGGCAGGGATGCATAGCACCTGGCCTCCTCCCTGCTTTACCCATTCGTACCTGTGTCTCTTCCTACCCACCCCTCACACGGGAGCCCTGATCTCGGGAGCCCTGCCTAAGCCAGATGCCTTGGGATGCTTCTCTAATAATTCTCCCTGTAGAGAAGCCCAGGCAGCTTGGCAGTCTTTGCAGGTAAGAAGCAGGGCCATGTCGTTCTCTCAAGTCCTGCCGATGAGAATGTAGTTCACCTACCCCAAATCGGACCCAGATCCTCCAGAAGTGCCTATCCATAGGCTTCAGGCACAATGGCCATAAGCAAGGCGATGTCAATGCCAGGCATAGGAGAGCCATTTGGGGGTGGCTAGTTTTCTACAGGGCTGCTGAGTGACAGCTGTTCATCCTATAAACAAGGAGACCCTTCTGAATCTCTGGTCCTCTGGAGAGACCCCTTGACTGTTCTTCCTTTTGAATTACCCTAAGTAAAAAAGCTCCATTCCTGTTGCTAAAAGAGAAGGAACCACAGATGTTTCTTGAAATGCCTCAGAGACCTCCCAATCAATTGAGGTCCTCTCTGAGCTAGACAAATGAGGAAACTCCAAAAGGCCACTGTGCCTATCTTGATGCCAGTCCAAGAGGGATCTGCAGGTCAGAGGGGTGGGACAGGATTCTAGAAGGCCTAGAAGCCACTCGGTTTCTGCAGGTTGTGACAAGTCAGAGAATATGGAGATAACCTGGAGTACTCTACTGATCCTATAGGGTGCTATGCTCCCAGGAGACACTCCGATGTCCATATGGATTGATGGGGGCCCACTGATTTTGCAATGGGTGATATTCAGTTTTTCAAGATACTACTGTACCTTTAATTTATTATCTTTCCATAAAACACAGAACACACACGATCTACAGTATACAAAGTATAACTTACAAAAATATAAAAAATCTTGGTTATTTTTTAGTATTCCAACATATTACTGTATGTGTTATTTCTGTATGCATGTTTAATCAACCCACACCTAACCACCATGATTATCTCTTTAGGAAATGGTGTCAATTCCCTTCTTTTTTGTTTTAAAGTAAAATATATATTAAGAGAAAGAAACCCACATTGGTTATATGTGCATACTGTATGTATAAAAAGCTTTTGTAGTGGAGTGTAACAGAAAACAGCCACTATGCCATAATTTAAGCCCCGTTTTCCAGTATGTGGTCCAAAGGACTTTAAACTGAGCATTTAGACAGAGGTTCTTTCCATGTGACAAGAGTGAGTGCCCCAAGATTTGCATAGTCTTTCTAGGTTTTGAGATGATGAATGCACAGAGCCAACATTGTGGACAGGTGCCATTTCCAGGTCTTGAGAACAGTGGGCAAGGTTGATGGGCAACCTTCAGGCCAGGGCTAATTGCAGATGCCTTCAGGGAACTTAGAGGCTAAGTCACTAGCAGAGAAAGACCCCAGAAGGATGCCCCGATGGACAGCTCTTTCTAGGTCCCAGCAGGGTTGCCCTGCACCTGCAGCTGCCTCTTGTTAAGTCCTGGCTCCAGTAGGCTCCAAGAATGCAGCTCTGCTGGGCAGGGATGGGGCAGTATTGCCAACCACCCTGGAGCTGTCTTACCGGCAGGCACAGGTCTCCACGGACATGTTGGGGTATACCTTCAGAACCACATTCTTATTCTCATCCAGGAAAAGGACCCCAAGGGAGCTCATCTTGTCTGGAACACAGCAGGGCTCTGGGATACCAGGGACAATGCCCACAGCCCTGACAATGCTCTGGATGGTGGCGTGGTTGGATGGGCGGACAATCTGCAGGTGAGAAAGGAATAGAGTTAGTTCACAGACCTCATGCTCTGCTGCTGTTCCTTGACTGAAGCCAGCCAATGGTGGCCTAGAAGGAAAGGTGAGTGCCCAGGACTGGACACAGGTTTCCTCTGGAGTCAGCCATAAAGACAGTGGAGGCCTATAGCAGCTCCCGGAGTCACCATTCACTGTCACCTCCCTGAGATAGCACATCCCTTACATAGCACTGGCCATGTGGGGGCGTCTGCATGTCACACATCTCCCAGGAACACCTGTAGCTGGGCAGAAGCTGTCCAGAGGGAAAGCAGAGGAGGCCTGGCAGCAGACATGCCTGGTGTCATCCTGTGGTTGAGACTGAAGGGGAGCACCTGGTGTGTGCATGGGCTAGAATGTGCCTGAATTGGGGTGGCAGGCACAGTGTTATCCCATCATCCCATTAAGCTATCTTATGAATTTTATGGGGAGGATATGACCTTCATTTTACTGGTGAAAACACTAAGGTTTAAAATGACTAAGTGAATTAACCAAGACCCCTCAGTCAGAAAGCTTGAAAACCTCTGACTCAGCCAAGTCACCAGCTTCAGCTCAAGGCTGGCCAAACAGGTGCAGTTAACAAGGAAGCCTTTTCTTGTTGGGGTGGGGGGAGGGGCATCAAGAACAGGGCAAACACATCTGCATGTGTGGGCCTCTGAGTAGTGTCCTGGCTGGTATCCTGGAAAGGTGAGTAGGCAGCAATACAGGTTGATAAGATAAGCCTGGGGTCAGCCAGCTGTAAGTCTGTGCAGAGTTCAGGTCTTGTATCTGCCCTAAGCTCATGTGAAGCCCTTTAAGCAGACCTAGTCTCTGTCAGGAGGTACCTCCCTTCCTCTGTCTTGTACATGTATGGCTTTGAAGAGAAGCCCCTTAATTCCTGAACAGATTAATGTGGTACCAGATCTGGGTCTTGGGCTTTCCCACCTGCCTGATTTAGTGAGGTTCAAGTTGGATTTATGCACTGATTTCCCTTCTTGGAGAGCAAGCCAGGAGGACTCCGCAGAGTAACTAAGCAGGAAGAAACTGCACTGGGTGTGAGAGTTGATATCCACACAGGATGCAGGAAGATGGATGGACAGAGCCACACCCCAGCCTGAAGGGAAGATGAGAATCTGGGCTGCCCTGTGGGTGTCCAGAACCAGAGGGAGCTCACCATGGGAGAGCCATTGAGACTAACACCTGCTGGTCACAGTGCCCCAGGGTCCAGGCCAGGAAATTGCCCTGTGCACCCAACTGCTGTAGATGGTCACTATATGGGAAGGCACTTCCAAACACATGGATCCTCCTGCTATTCCTTGCTGTTCTGATTTTAAAACTCCAATTTAGCTAAGCCAACACTTTCAAAAACATAGCCAAACCAAATACTTCTGTGGACTGTGTCCATCCATCAGGCTGCCACTTGGCAAAGTCTGTCTATCTACTCCCTGCCTCTCTCTATAGATGGGAGGTGTTATTCCATTTTGTAGACGGTAAAACAGAGGTGAGGCAGGCAGAGGGATGTGCCAATAGGGGCAGAACGGAGAGTTAGGATGAGACAACAAGTAGAACAAATCGTGGTACTCAAACCCATCCTACCTTGGGCATGGGGAACTCACAAGCTCCCGAGCAGTAGTAGGCATCAAAAGATTTGGGCGAGATGATCCATTCATTCCACCCAATGTCTGCGAAGTCCACCTTCAGATACCTTCGGGAGCAGACCCGAGGCTCATCCCACTGCCGTCGCCGGGCTTTTTGCATTGTCTTCTCATCAAAGTCCAGCACCTGAGAAGAGGCGGCAAATGTGTCCTGGCCCTTCTTCCTGCGGTCCTTGCGCCCTGGCCGGGGCTTCAGCGCCCGGAAAGGGCTGGGCCACAACTCATGCTTATGGTAGTGCTGGGCATGGGGTACGTGCGCTGGTCTCTCGTCCAGTCCCGGCAGCTCATTGTCCTGGAGCGGTCCTGAGGCCTGAGTGGCCCGGCGCACACGGGGGTCTGCTGAGCTGTTGGGGGCTGCCCGGGGCTCGGGATCTCCAGCTGGGAAGGGGTCGTACCTCTGCAACGTCACTGCCACGCTGTTGGGCTCTGAGATGGCCAGGTCATTGGCATAGACAAGGATATAGGGCATGTGGGGGCTGTGCCTGTGTGCCCCAGTGTCCTTCTCCCCAGAATCCAGCTGGGCAGAGAGCAGCAGCTCGCCATCCCGGCGGGCAGCCTTGATGATGGAGGAGATGTCCTTGGCCTGCCACAAGCCACGTGGCGGGGGCATTAGGGCCATGGCCCCACGGAGAAGCCCCTGTGTTGCTGTGTTCTGCGAGAGGCTGCGGAAGAGTAGGTGCAGGCGTGCTGGTGGGCCTGGAGGCAGCAGGCGACAGGACATGTTCTTGACCCGAGGCTTGCAAAACACCTCTCGCGCCCGCGGCCACCGAGGTGGCTCTGAGTAGAAGTGGAAGGTGGCCGTGAGGATCATTTCTGAGTCCTGCATGGACGTCAGATTGAAGAAGTATACAGTCTTCTGGTTGACCACTTCTGTTTGGGAAGGGCAGACCACAGGCTGTTAGGTTTGCTCTAGGAATTACACCTTGATCACGGGGTTTCCTGCCAGGACTGGGGTGGTGGAGCAATGTTCCCTGACCCAGCACTTCCAGGTTGGGCCCACACTTTGCTTTCTTCCTCTCCTGCACTACTCACAATAAACTGATGGGGGCGCCCTTTGATGCCCTCAATCAATATGCACAACTGAGGTCAGATAGGTAGGGAGCCTTCACATAGTAGGAATGTGGGTACAGAGAGTTAAAGAGAAGGCAGTAGAGTGAGCACTCAGGCCTGATAGAGGCTAAAAATCCTGCTTGTTTCCTCCCCGCCCTCCCTTCACTGCCTCTCAAAGAACAGATAAAGTGTCACTGACACTTTCGTTAAGCACTCAAGGTGGCTTGGGGTTGGGTCAAGCCTTGCCCTTCAGTGTTTGCACAGCCCTCTATTCTATGCAGTCAGTTTTTAAATGCAAACATTAAATGCAATTCCATTAAATGTGATTTTTCCAAGTAAGATGAAACAAAGACACCTTCATAGCTTCCACTGCATTTTGAACCCCTTTTAAGGGAATCTGGGGTTAAGAGTGCAGTTGTTTGGCATCTGCTGTTTGTTCTATCCTAGGATTTTTAAGATTGTTACACACACACACACACACACACACACACACACACACACAGGCAGTTTCAGGATTGCAAAGGTCACGCTCCACAAAACCTACAAGGGCCAAGTTGCCCTCTGGAAACACTAGCCATGTCAGGACTAGGACCACTCAGCCATCATATCTGCAGTGTGGAGATGGTCTCTGCTTCCCTAGGACAGCTGATCATCCAGTCCTTCTTGCCTGGTTCCAAAGGGAATGTTCACATACCATTAATGGGCCCTGAGAGGAAGGGAAAGAGCAAGGGAGAGGTGCCAGTAAAGGCTAAAGATGCTCACAACACATCCACAACGTAGGTATCACGGCCCATCCACATGCTTTGCACGTATGAAGCAGTGCTGGTTCTTGCTGTACATTTAAACTTGGCTTTGCCAAACACTGTGGCTTTGAATGTCATGCCAACCAGCACCCCTGGGTTCTAAACATGAGGAAGTTTGGGAAGCACTTCAAGTGGTGGAGGCTGTGTATCTGTAGCACCTCTTACCTGGAAACTTTGGAGTGGTGTCCTGCTCTTAAGGTATAGCCTAAGGCCCCTGTGTTATATCCAGAGAGGGGACCAGCCTTTGGTTCCTCCTGCCTCCTGCTCACTAACCCATGGGTGGGGACACTCACTAACAATGCAGTTAGAAAACACCCTAGGAAACAAGTTCCCAGGCCCCATAGGACACTACCACACTTTAAACCTTACTTTCTTCATCAACCTCATAGGGACAATGGAATCTATCTCATCTGATTACTGCAGGATAAAAGAAAGAGCCAATGTGATGTGCCAGGTAGGAGGGAGGTGCCTCAGAGAGTTCTTCTCTGCCACTTTCAACGAGAGGACTGAGGGTGGCAGAGCAAACTCCTCCTGCACTGACTTGAGCACTCCCCCCGACCCCTCACTGATCATCAGAGTATCATCTGGTTTGTGACCAGCTAATCCAGCAGCTGTTTATCTTTGAGCTACTTACCGGAATTGACTGTTCTGAGTGGGGAGGAGTCTTAGAGGTCAGGTGAGTCTTAGAGGTCAGGTGAGAAGTGTCTTAGTTTGGCTTGAATCCCTCTGATGAGAGGGCATTCACCCCTTACTGGGCATCCTACCATGTGAAGACTGCCCCCCTCCCGCCCCTACCCCCGCCCCCGCCAGGAACTGTTGAGGTCACATTCCCAACCCCAGACCTTGAGGGTCAAAAGACTGGCCCTCTCTGAACATGTGTGCTTGCAATGCAGGGCTCTAGACTGTGGCTAAGAGCAGGGACATCTCCCTTAAGTTTCTAGCTAAGACATGCCCAGGCCAGAGAAGTCCCCATTTCCCATTTCCCATGAACGGTGCTGGTGCTCTGTGGCTCATGTCCTACAGTCAGGGAGAAGAAGTCCTTCTTCCCTTACTCTCTGCTTTCATCTACCAAAGATGCCCTGGAAGAACTCAACCTAGCGGGGACACAAACTGGTAATGGTGACAACAGCCATCCTCACGAACCTGTCACCTCATAGCTTTGTAGAGCACTATCCAAGTGAGACCCTGTGTGCTGGGAACATTCAATTACAGGTCACCCCCTGCTCAGAGCCGTCCATTGCCCCAAACAAAACTCCAACCATTACCAAGGCCCTACTCCATCTGACCTGCCAACCTGTCCACTTTCATCTGCCTCAACCTCATTTTTCTGTCTGGTAACACTGGCTTCTTGCCCTGCCTGAATGTGGCTTCTGTCTCTGGGCTTTGCCTTGGCTGTTCCCTCTGCCTTCATGACTCTCCTCTGGATCTCCCTCAACCCTCCTTCAGGTCTTCACTCATATGGCATCCCCAACAAAGGGTGCCTCCTGTGGCTGAGAGTCACCTGTCAGTCTGTCCACCCCTGCTCCATTTATCTCCAGAAAACTTCCTGACATCTGATGTACATTCATCTAATTGTTTGCCTTTCCCTCCAGACATATACTGGAAAGGACAGGGCCTTTCCAGTTGTGTGATCTGCTGTAGCCTTAGATCCCAGCACTAGGCTTGAGTGATTGCAATGGGCTGAAATAGGTATTAGATCATGGGATTTTTGGTGCACATCCTGCCCAAGTGGCTCCTGTATTGTATGAGGGCAGGAAGGGACAGAGCAAGAGTGGGGTTGTCATTTCAGTTAAAAAAAAAAGGTTGGGGGGTTCTTGCCTGCTGTCCTGGAGTTGAGGAGCCATACCCTTTGGGGATCCAGAAAGGTTCATTCTTCTGAAAGATATTATTGATGATGCAAATCCAACCAGAGACACTGAGCAGCTGGATCTTTCGCCAGTGAATTCCCTGGAACTCAATTTTTTCATCTTTAAACAGGTTGAGTAGCCCTTATCTGAAATGCTTGGGACCAAAACTGTTTTGATTCTTTTTGGGGTTTGGAATATATGCATATCCATAGAGCTATCTTGGGAATGGGACCCAAGTCCAAACATGAGTTTCACATACACCTTGTACATGTAGCCTGAAGGTCATTTTGTACGATAGTTTCAGTTTGTCTGCATCTTTACACATCACATGAAGTTGGGTGTGGAATTTTCCATGTGTGGCATCACGTCAGTGCACACAATGTTCTGGATTTTGGAGCATTTTGGAATTAGGATTTTCAATCTGGGAACCTGTAATATATTTTGCCAGTTATGGAGTTCTGAGTCCTTGGCATGCATATTCCTCATTTATGCAAGAAGAGGAACAGGGATGGGTCACTCGTTCTCTGTGCGAAGAGCTGGACCTTCAAAGAGGGTGTATACTGAGCCTAAAGTCACACAGCTGGGAAGGGGCAGAGCTAGGGCACATAGCCCAAGCCCACTGCTCCCTCATAATTGCTCTTACTATTGTTGTGACATGCCTAAGAATGAACCGACTAACCTTACCTTCTGTAAACTTCAATAGGTTTTGCAAACACAAGCCATTATTTTGGATGTTTTTGAGTTGTAACTCTGCCAGAAGAAAAGGACTGAATTTATTATACAAGTTGATCTCTCTATGGGTCTTTGGCATTCTCAGGACCCTGACCACCTGACTGGGTACTTATGCTTCTCCCCAAGGTTAGTGGGAATGGGACAGCTCCCTGCTGACCAACCCTCAGGCCAAGAGCAGTCCCTCAGATGACCCTGCCCTATAGAAATAGAATCCAAGCTGCCCAGAGATTTATCCCTTCATTCATTGACCCTTAAGTAGCCATCAAGAAGACCAGAGTAAGAGTGCTGGGCTGAAAATGCAAACACCAACACAAGCTGGAGACAGGAAGTGGAGGTCCCACTCATGGGCTGCGGAGAGGCAGGAGTAGAACAGGCTGAGCTTCTATTTCACACAGGCTCCCAGGGTGAGGTTTCACCCCTCCTGGCATCACTTAACAGCTATGGGACCTTAGGCAAGACATGAAACTGCTCTGTGCCTCAGTTTCCTCATTCATAAACTTAACAGAGTGTTTGTATGCACCTCCTGAAGTTGTGACATTGGCTCTGCAGAGCTTGTTCAGATCAGTGTCTGGCACCTGGGACATGCTCAGAACACACGGCCAAGTGGTTGCCGAGGTTGTCACTACCTTCAGGCTACTCCACCCCTGCTCCCTATATATACACATACAGACTTGTGAGTTTTCCCCTCATGTGATCGCATTTTCATCATGCAGGTAAAACATTTGGCATTCTCATTTGAAATTACTTTTTCCATTCCTGGTCATCCTGAACTGTTTTTTTCCTTATTGATTAGCAGAGGTTCTTTATATCCTCAAGATATTAACCCTTATCTCTCACAGGTGATTTGCTTTTGAAGCATGCAGGCCTGTCAAGTGGGAGATCTGCTATCCACCCAACCCCTCCAGCAGAGCCCGAGAACTTCTTGCCCTCCTCCCCTCTGCTCCTAATCAACTCTCAGTCCCTGTTGACTTTGTAGCCAGTTTTTACACACCATGACCTCATTCAGGGCCAGCCTCCACTATGATAGCCATCCCAGGACTGTCACCCCCCCATGTCACACAGATGCTTCAAAAGCAAATCACCTCTGAGAGATGAGGGTTAATAGCCTCGCTATGTAAAGAACCTCTGCAGACCAGTAAAGAAAAACAACCCCCCCCATAAGAGGAGGCAGTTTTCATAGGAGAACTTGCAAATGGCCAACAGACATGGGAAATGGGAAACAGTTCAGGATGACCAGGAATGGAAAAAGTAATTTCAAATGGGAATGTTGAAAATATGGCCCATTACAGCAAAGCCTATGTGTATGTCTATATATGCACATGTATTTTATATATTTATATAGGCAAATCTGCTACCTCTTGAGTTATGTCCCCATTGCTATTATATATAGTGGTTCTGAAATAATCTCACCAAAATGCCACATTAACTCTGTTTATCTCTGGGTATATAATCAGGGATGATTTATGTTTGTTACTGTGATTGTTTTAGACAGCCTGTCTCCCTCCTCTTCTTTATTCTCCTCCCCTCTCCCTTTCAATCTGTCTCTCTCTTTCTCTCTCAGGCACGTACACATATAGGCAAACTTAAGGCTCTCTGTGGTCCAGCTGAGACCTGCTTCTTCACCTCTGTGCCCTATCTCTCTCCCTTGAGAATTGCCTCACAGTTCTCAGACACAGTGGCTAATGTCTACCCCTGGCTGAGACTCCCAGTGCATCAGAGTCTGCTGGGGTCTCCCCTGCTCTGAAAGCCTCACTGTTCCCTATCTTTTGGGCCAGTGCTGCCCTTGAGGCTCCTGAGGAGCACTCCACTCTTCATCACTCTGTAGCCTCACTCTGCTTCTGCTTACTCTCCCTGCCCTGCCACTTCCCAGAGTCTTCTGAGTAGGGCCAATACTGGGCTTACCTCCTACTAAATGAGGGACTGTGTCTTGGATGTGGCTTGTCCCCCAAAGATTCATCTGCTAGGGCACAAAACTCACCTTCTTTCATTTAATCATCACTCTAGTATAACAATATTAAAAGGTAGTATAAGCTTTAAGAGGTGGGACCTAATTGAAGGTCATTAGACCACTGCAGGTGCTGCCCTCAGAAAGGATTTACATAATTTTCCTGGGACTCCTCCCAACAGTTAGCTCCTCAGGGAGTGATTATGTGACCTGTTGGCCAAAGTCTCCTGGGCCTCCCCTGCCCAGTGAAGTCTTCACTGGCCACTCTCATCTTTGACTTCCTGTCTTTCCATGTGATCTCTCCCTTTCACATGTCCTCAACCATGATGCCATGTGCTATGCTGTGACAGAGCCAGCGGGTTCCTCATCACAGCTGGCACCGTGCTGTTTGAACCTTCAGCCTCCAAAACTATGAGCTAAATAAACCTCTCTTCTTTTGAGTTACATGGCCTCTGGCATTTTGTTATAGCAACACAAAATAGACCAACACAGTTGGGGAACTGAAATGAATTTGACTTTTGGTAGTTTTGACAGATTGGCATATAGTATCGCTCTCATTTTAGAGATAAAGTAAACAAGCTCATTATCACAGTGTCAGGTATTGAAGCTTAGTTTAAACAGGTCATTGGTGAGAGCATGGGGGTGGATAGTCTATCCTTAACCCTTAGGGTCAGGCTCAAGGCACTGTCCTCTGATGCATATTAGGGAAGAAAAATGCACTTCTGAGAGCAATGGGAGAAATAGGAGGAAAGGCTGGTGTAATGAGTCAAGAAACTGTGGGCACACGTGCCAGGAACTGTTATAAGCACTTGCCATATCTGAGTTCATTAACTAAAAAATTTTCATCAGTCAGGAAGGGAACATTATCAGCCAGATTTGAGAAGTGAAAAGAAAACAACCCCAAATCATGGAGTTGCCAGCTTGCACTTCGCACCTGAGCCGTGCTGTAGGTGAGGCGCAGTTGTTGGAATGAGGTTGCAGCAATGGATGCATAGGTTGGTTGGGAGAAGGCACCATCCCTGATAGCAGCAGAGAGCCACCATCACAGATCAGCCTGGGATGGGTGTGTTCCAAGACCGGGGCTAAAGTCTTCTACATTCGTGGCCTCATCCATGAGATGGGGGATCCCTGCCCAGGCTCACACCGCCTCACAGGTGGCTCTCTGGATGGAGGCAGGCATACCTGTGGGCTGGTCAGGGCTGGGTATTAAACAATTAGGTGAATCAAGGGAGGGGGATAAGAAATCCACCCATTCTATGCCAGACACAAAACCTACCTTTTCCCATACAATCCTCATCTCCTCTCAGTGTACACGAGGAGTCTGATGCTCCAATAGGAAAGTAGCACGTGTCACAGCACACAGCCAGTAGCTGTGGGGTTTGTGCCCAAGTTTGTCTCAGGGTTCCAAAGAAGAAGGATTTGTCAGGTAGTTCCAGACTGTTCCAGAATTTACCTTACTCTTCCCAGGCCCTGGGCTTGGTTCTGATGGAGATGGCAGAGGTATGTGGCTGTGAGAATGGTATGGATTGGCCTTGGTAGATGGAGGTATCCACCACGGCCACTATGAATAGCCTCCCCTGTCTCAGTTTCCTTATCTGTAAAATGGGAGTGGTGGTATCTCCAGGTCCTTTGGGGGTTAAAATCGCGTACTCACTGTTACTTGTACTATCCCCATTCTGTGCCTAGACCACACAGGTGGTTGGGCTGACTCCTTGTTACAGCAGTGACCTTGCTGGCCTTACTTCCTCAAGTACAGGCTTTGAGGATTGAGTTAATGGGCAAGCAAGGTCAAGTTTAAACCCATATGAACACAGAGTGCTCCCAGGGGGAAATCATGCAACAATACCTAATGTGGCCAGTGCTCAGAGTTTACACATACTACTTCATTTCATCTTTCTTCAAACCCCATAGGGGATATACTAGCATGCTGTGTCCATTTTATAGACAATACAATGAAGTCCACGTGGCTTTGGTGATTTCCTAAGGTCGTGTTCATGCCAAATGGTTCTTACATGACTTAATTTTGTAATGTTGCTCCAGAAATGGACCCAAGGTAGTGAATAAAAGGTGCTAGGGAGGACAGTGCTCCATGTGATTGGTCAGGAACATGGGGACATTATCCTTGTGAGTCTGCTCAGTGGAGGATGAGATGGTCCTGTTTGCGGGCAGGTGCTGCCCTGTAAGCTTGATGCTCCCAAGCTTCCCACATGTAGCTCCGAAACTATGATGTTACCTAGAGTAACACAGCCAGTGAGCACCAGGTGACAGACATGACCCCAGACTGTATAGCTCCAAAGCTGTCTGGGTCTGCTCCCCTCCATCTCTGGAGAGTAGTCTGCAAACTGAACTGTTTTCTGCTGATGAATATCCTCTTCTCTCAAAGGGCTACAGGAGACCCCCACCCACATTTTCTGGAACAGCATTCTGCAACCATGAGCAGTCACCATGGCAACAAGGGTCTTTCCACCACCCCTGCTGCCCAGGCTGTGCCTCCTCTGCTTGCCCCAGGGCTTGTAGAGGCTCCATCAGCCCAGTTGGTGGGCTGCTGATGCTGGGGCCCAGAAAGCCTAGGGCAAGGAGGACATCTGTCCAGCTCCATCCAAGGTGTGAAGAAAATGGAAAGGTGGGCTCGGACAGCAGACGGCTGGGTGCTCCTCCTAACCAAGCTTCTGGACAGCTTCTTAAACCCCTGTAGCCTGAACACTTCATGGCAGTGGCCCTAAGTCCTCAGTCCAGGGGACCAGAATCCTTCTTTGTGCACACTGCTTGCCTACCACTAAAACCATTAACTGCCTCAGGCTGGAGGTTTGTGCTCCCTACCTGGGCATGGTGCTTCCTACTTCTATCAGGCTGATCTTATGCTCCTCTCTCATCCTGCAAGTGCCATCACAACTGGCCCTAATGACATGGACACTCCCCCAGCCCACGCTCATTTCTACCTAAAGCTGTGAATGGGTGCTTTTTGTCCAGCAGGTATGGGAGGCCACCATGGGCAGGAATTTTGTGCCACTGAGTATCACTTTGGTGTCCCCGCTGGAGGATCTAGTCTGTGACAGAGTACTGAGTGGCTCACTAGTTTAAGAACGAATGAATGAGTCAATGAATAGAAGGAAGAGGAAAAGCAGAGGTATAGGGATGGGGAGTTCAAACAAGTGAGAGGAAGGGGGAGAATGAGGCGAAAGGGGTCTCCGGGAGCACCATCTACTTACCCAGCCGGGCACGAAAGCTGCGGACTGTGTTGCCTCCTCCTGGCCGCGCGCCCCGCCGGCTGTACTTCTCATAAAGCCGGAGCATGTGGACAGCAACCATGTCCTGGGCGCCTGGGCCCAGCGCGGCTGCCATGTCCCCAGGGGATTGCTGGGAGTCCTTGTCTCCCTGCAGGCCGTCGGCAGCCGCTGGCAGCGCGGACCAGGAGGGGTGCACAGCCATGTGGTTGCAGCCAGCGCCTCGCAGCAGCAGGAGCAGTGGCAGCAGCGGTAGCAGTCTGGACACCAGGCTGGTCTGAGCAGGGCAACTAGCCATGGCGGGGTGATGGCGACGAAGGGCCAGACGGAGCCCAGGAGGAGTATGGGGAGCGCGGGCTCACCGGAGGCTGCAGATCGACTCCGCGGCTGGAGGGCGTGTGAGGGGCGCAGGGAACCGGGGACGTGAGACGCTGGGTACCGAGATCCGCGCGGGCACGGCAGCGGGGTTCGCGGTGCATCCACTCCGTCTGAACCCTGGCCAGCGGTCACTGCCGTCCCAGCGTCGTGGAGCACAGCCGAGCCCGAGCCAGCGCGCTGCCTTGGCTGACTTGCGCCGCGAAACTTTGCAGCCCACGACGCGCCCAGCCTGGCGGGTTCGAGGGGCGGAGCGGGGCGGGGCGGGGCGGCCGGCGGCGCCCTCGGGGGACCCGGCTGCGCGCCCCGGACTGGACCACTGGTGGCCGCCACCCACCCCGCAGTCCGTGGCCGGGATGCGGTATGCCTGCGCCCTTGTGTGCGGCGTGCGCGCGCCGGGATATGATCCCGGTGTGCGCCCGCGAGTGCGGGGGGCGTGGGTGTGGGCGAGCGCGCTCCTCGCTCCCCTGCTGAGAGCCGGAGACCCAGCCCCGTGGTCGGCTCCTGTGTGTCGGCGCCGGCAGCCTGGTCGGGGCTGCGCGGGGGCTGGGCTGCCTCTGGAAGGGGGCCCGCCTGCCGGGTTGCCCCTGTAATGGCATGCGATGGCTATGTGGTTGGAAGATGACAGCTCCCCCATGAGGACCAGAGAGGGGATGTGTGTGTGCCCAGTTGTCTCTGAGCCAGCCTGTGTCCAAAATGTAAGAGTGCAGGCTGGGAACACGGATCTTTCCTGAGCGGCCTCTGAAATTAAAAATTAAAAACCATCCTAAGGCCATGGGAGCAAGATCCAAATCCAGAATTATAATTAGTCGATTAACCGACCCTTTATTTGGCAACAGTGATTCCAGCTGTTGAAAAAATACATCAAAGGTCCTTATAAATCTTTGGACAGGATTGCAAGAAAAAAAGACATGCTTTTAAAAAGACCTTGCTTTTAAAAAAATAATTTAAAAAATCTTTCCAAAGCATCAGAGGAGGAAGAGAGAAGCCCATGACTCCCAGAAAGGGTTCTCAGAGAAGAGCATGTGTAGGAAGCGCAGTGCAGTGAGGCCCTGCCTCTAGCTGCCAGCTTAGCCCTAGGACGGAAGCTTCTGAACTTTGTTTTGCTTCTAGCAAGGTTACTTCCCCATGGATAGAATCCAGGGCTCTGAAAACTTGAGGGGGAAAATTAGATCTTTATTTTCACTAACTTTAACTGAAATTTAGCATTGCCTAATGTTATACATACAAGCAACCAACCTCAGTGACCTGTGACTTTGTCACCAATGGACACCATCCATGGACATTTTCATATCACAAAAAAGTGGTTTCATATTTCTTGCTCATTGCTACTTTGAAATTATAGTAACTGTCAGGCCCTGCTAGCTAAGGAATTTAATGAAAGAAGACATACATTACTGTCACTATGTTGCAAAGTTGTTTTAAAAATACTTTGACAGCTAGACTCTTATGCAGTTAGTTTTCTTTGCAATCCTGCATATTTCATTTTATGCGTTTTAAAAACATTATTTTTATGTAGTACTGGGGTTTGAACTCAGGGCTTCTCACACTCGCTAGGCAGGTACTCTATTGCTTGAGCCATACCACCAACCCCCAGCCCTTTTTTGCTTATTTAGTTATTTTTTTGGCTGGCTTCGGACTGCAATCCAGCTAGGGTCATAGGTGTGCCCCAACCACCCCCAGTTTATTGGTTGAAATGGGGTCTCCCTAATTGAGCTGGCCTGGAACCTCTGGATCTTTGCCTCCTAAGTAGCTGGGATTGCAGGTGACAGAGAAAGGGTCCACAGGGTTTACCAGACTAAAAATTTAAGAATCCTTTTGAGGGAAAGACAGAATCCCCTTCAAACCCAGAAAGCTCCAGGATTACCATCTATGCTACATTTCAAAGAACAATCTGCAAACTTGTGAATGCACTCTTCCCTTTACTTAGTAACTTTGGGCTATGTGAACCAAAATAGTTACTTTTCTTGAAGGACTCAGAATGCAATAATTGAAAAATTGCTGAAAAAAAAGCTTCTGTTGGTGTGCACAACGCATTTGTAATTTTTAAAAATCTCAAACTGTCAAATTAAAGGCCATCCTTCCAGAGCCTCTGAACTTCAGGCCTGTAGCTTTTGGAAAACTAGAGGAGTGTTTTACTTATTTTGAAAATTAGTTCACACTGGATTGAACCTCCCATTAGTGTATAACTTCCATTGTTCTGTGAACTGGTTTTCCAAAAGCAGTTTTCCTGGAGCTAAGATAATCAAATCACAACTTCGGACTTGAATCTCTCCTTACAAGTGATCAGGACCATCAGATCATCTTTTACTATCCCTTCCCCTCCCCCACCTCCCTCCTTCTCCCTGTGCCCCTCACTTCCCCTCTTCCCTTCTCCCCCAGAATGCCTCTGACCTGCCCTGGTTGGGGGTAACCTCTGCTCAGGGGTAGTTTTGTCTCTGCTGGGGCCATACACAATCAAGGCCTGTGAAAAGGAGGGTGAGTCTGCGGGAGGCCGGCACAAGCTGGGCTATTCGGATCTGTGTCCATTAAAGCCTCCTCGTCCCCCTTAACTCATTCCCACTCCATTCAAGCTAGCCTGAGGGTCAGGCTTTAGCAGGCACTAAAACCTGTAGGGTACAGATTCTCTGACATTGTTGGGAAAGAATTAAGGCATCAGCCAGGGACGGCTAATATTTCTTGCCTCATTTTATTGCTGAACAGCAGGACTGTAAAGTTCTGAACGCTGGAACACTGTGGCCCCCTTTCATGTGGCCGCGATGATGGGATAAAAATGTGTTTGGTGAAGCAATTCAGATTACCACTGGGTCACATCCTCGCTGGCTCCCAGCACAGCCCTTGAAACAGCATAGCTAAGACAAGAAGCAATCTCTGTGCAAATGTAGCTCATGTCAAACAACATTTCTAGCGTGGAAACGAGGCTAATTGTAGATCTTGCCAACGAGCATGTTTTGTTTTTAATAGCTCGGGCTGCAGCTCAAAAAAAGAGACGAGATCGCAGACTGTGGCTATGTCTTCCGATCTACGATTTCTGCCAGCTTCCTACACAATTACTCCTCTCCTGGGAATAGCTTATGGTTATGAGCAGGGACGCTGAGGTCTTGAACTTGCAGATTGGGCAAGGAGTATTCTCTCCAGAGAAGGGAAGCTTGTTTGGGGCTCCTCAGTCTTCCAGCTCCTCTGTCACACACTTTGGGATAGCAGAGTATCATCAAGCTCAGAAAATGGTAAGAAGGAGTAAGGCGGTTCCATAGTTGGAAGTTCTGTGCCCATGTGAAGGACAGAGCTATCACATAGCTCTGAAAAGGAAGCTAAGTTTGAGTTTTATCAAACTTCTCCCCAATAAAAATAAAATATGAAATGTTCCCATGCAGTTGTTTCATGGTATTATCCTGTTAATTTGTGACTGAGCTGATTCTAACCAGCTCTGTAACCCTGGGGCAGCCCCTTGGCCTCTCTGAATCTTGTAAGGCTGATTCCCAGTCCCTGTTTCACCTCCTAGACTCTATGTTAGGTCTGTGTCCTTCTGTCAACCTGTTCTTGGAAGTGGGAGGCTCCATGTGACCCTGTGGAATCAATAGAGATTAGGTTCACGTCCCTATTTTCGCCACTACCTAGCTGTGTGACCTTTAGCAACTTACTTGCCTTCTCTGGGTTTCAGTTTCTTCAACTCTAAACTGGGGACACAAGCAGGGTGTTTTGGGGATTTTTTTTAGTAAGGTTTTAACAGGAGATGGAACAAATCGAATTGATGGCATTGTTGCTGTTCTTTCTATGGTGGGTTTGAAAGAAGAAGCTATCGCACATTCAAAGTAGACCCAGACTCTAGAAGATTTGATGAGAGGCTCAGCCTGACTGTTTTTTGCTCTGCAGAGGAAATATATTTCTTAGAGCACAGTGCCAGGAGCTGAGAAGGAAAGAAGAAGGAAGGAGAATGTTTCCTTGATTAGGAAGCCTTAGCCTTCTCCTGCCAAGCTGTTGTTATCAGTGTCTGTGGGAAGGTGATTCACAGCTCTTTTTCCTTAAGGACAAAAGAAATGCCAGCAAGTCCCTGTTCCTGTTGGGGGCATGAGCTGTGGGGCGCTAGAGACAAGAATTCCAGGGCCTCCCCATGCCGCCGGGCCAAAGTGTAATAAATCTGTGAAATAACAAGCACAAAGAACTTTATAATCAATGACAGATTTTATTTTTGCTCTGGCAAAATCCATCCGTGGAGTTCACATTTTATAGGAAAATAACTACCCAGTTTGTGACTCCTCCTCAGCCTGTATTCTCTTTCTCAGAGTTGGGAAAACTCAGAGAATCAGAGTCAGCTCCGCTGAGAACTGTGGCCGGGGAAAGCATGACTTCCCCTGGGCGGGAACCCAACTCTCTCGCTACTTCCTAGGGTGGTGAGGACCATTCATTTCTGTTTTGCTAAAATACCCGTGACATGTGAATAAACCAGGATTACAGAACATTGTCTCGGGCAGTAATCTGAGCCGGCATGGGCTCTGGTTTGATGAAATATGGAGCTCTCTGAGCAAACATGGGAATTGGTCTTACTTCTCGTTAAAACTGAACAGTGGGACTATTTAGAACTGATGCATGAATGCGGCACTGTGGGGAGTGACAATTTGAAGGGAGCCGATTTAGGGGGAGAAGGGTGGCGGGTTGTGTGTGTGTCTGTGTGTGTTTGAGTTGGCAAGAGCCAGCCAGTTAAGAGGAGACTGAGGGGGAGGCAGCCAAAGGGACACTTTGGAAATTAGGACTCCTTTGGGGCTACACAGCCTTCTTACAGCCACAAAATAATCTTCCTCAAAATCTTTGACTTATCTCCTTTGTGGAAGGGACAAAGCCTTCTATCCTTGTCCTGGCATTCACACCCTTCCCATCTGTCCTGTCTGTCTTGCTCGAGTCTTTTTCCAGTCTCTTCCTGCTGTC